AGTTTTGTTGCATTAAATATGAATAAAAATGACTTAATTCAATTTGTAAGTGAACCTTGGCGTAATGATCTGTTAACCGATAAAAAATATGAAGAGCTATATTATCTTACACCAGAAATGAAAAAAGAATACGAATTAGAGTTAAAAATATATTTATCTTTGATTTTAAAAGATCTTATAGCTGAAAAAGATCAAGAAATAAATGCTATTAATCAAAGTATAGGAAATCAAAAAGGCATCGGGAGTCAATCGAAATGGTGCAAAGAATGCAATACAACCAACATTGATAATAAAAAATGTACATGCCCTAATTGTCATAAAAAATTAGATACATTAGCTACTTTACAAGCAGAATCTGCTGAAGAACTTGCACGACTTAATAATACAGTTCCACAGTCAAAATCTCTCATAATTAAGTCCCATTCATATACTTACGAACAAAAAAACTCTTATTTCGAATGTATTAGTATTACCCAATGCTCAGAACCAGATAATAATGTTATTGTTCCAGAAATGCATGTGCCGGATCCATTAGAATGCAACCCTAATTCTATAAATAACATAAAAAAGGTTTTAAAGTATATACAGAGTATTACGTAGATAAACTAAGGAGCACGAAAATGGCTATCGGTTACTTGCAATGGCATTTCTTACAATCTAGTTCAAAAAATTAAAAATAACTTTCTGTGGCTTATACTAATTCCTGGTGCCCTGCACGAAGAAATGAATATGCTTAAAGCATTTGTAAAACTAAACTGGTATTATTGTTTTTTGGATACGTATTTATTTTTAGTGATGGGGAAAATGTGCATGAATGCACACAAAATGTTTCATGCGCATGATATCGCATGATAAAAAAAAGGCAAAAAAAAAGAAAAAACGATCGAGAGGAGAGAAATCTTGATGGGATAAAATGCGCATGATTCTGCAATCATGCGCACGCATAAAACCCATCTCTATTTCTTTTTGTTATTACAAATAACTCTAATTTATATTAACATATTCTTTTAAGGATAATCGATATCAAGCAATTCGCTATTCTTCAAGGATACAGAACTGAAAATCAACTTAGGTATTTCAAAAAATGCGTCGACCATCACAAATTGTGGGACTCTATCTGTAACATTTATCGACATGCGATTACATGTGAATTATTATGGCCATACATAGTCGCAACTGAAAATCCTTCGGCTGATGGCTATTTGGATTGGGCAAAGAAACAAAATGATCATAAATATAAGCTGAAATTTGAACAGGTAAGATTTCAAATAAAAAAAAATAAAATAAATAAAATATTATTTAAAAATTTTAGCTAATGATTATTACAGACATTTATCTACCTCCAGGCAATTATCAATTTTCGTACGGGGGTTAGAAATAATCGGCCATTGTTGATTAGTACTGCTCGATGTATGTTTGCTCCGATATGGTCTGGTCGTAGGCATCCTATATACTGCTTAATTGAGATAACTTATGAAGAGCAATTGATATGATTAAATCCTGAAATTAGAAAATGCATAGAATCATTCTCGGTTATTTCATGATTAGGACATTGTAACCAACATCAGGGCCTTGATGCTATTCTTGAAGAAGTTAATAAATCTTTAAAGGCCTTGATTCCACCCATACCTTCACAAAAACATTGGAGAATAGCAGCATGGAATTGTATAAAGTTTATAAAGGTTAATGAAATATATTTGAAAACTATACATTTAAATAAAAAGGTTACATCTACAATGCAAATTTTTTTTAATTTATAATTAGTTGCACCACATGTTATGCGATATGATTGGGCATACTGATAATGAATCATCAGGAGGTCAGTCGCATTCAGATTACACCTTAGAGTCACAACGATTTCGAATTCAATTACGAAAATTTGGGTTTTTGAATCCTCAAAGCAATGATCGCACATTTAGAAGCCTTGGAGAGGAGTCCCTACTTAGCGAACAGCTAAAAAATTTTAGTGATTTAGTATGTGAAAGACGAAGAAGGTTTATTGATGAGACTTTCAAAAAAAGCAAGTCAAATCACTTACTCCGGCCAATACCTGTTACTGCTCAAGAAGAAGCAGCCGCCATGGATGAAGCAAATATGTCGAAAAAGAGCTTCTAGTGATTATCAATTCATTGCTAAGTTCAGTTAATATTCCAGATAGTTCAAAGTATCGCGGGTTAAAGCAAAAAAATCGTAGCCAATTACAAGAGATCTTACAAAGTATTAGAGACCTTTATAATGAGCAAGATGGACTTGAAGATGAAGTAGAACTAGAAAATCAAATGAATTTATAAAATAAATAAAAAATTTGACTACTTTTATTGTTATAATAAATAATCAAAGCTAATAAACAATAATTTTTTTTCATTTTTATTAGATTTAAAATCGGATATTATTCAGTTCCAAATGATTTAATTGCATCAAGAATTATTTTGTGCAATGGAGGTTTCGCCTCTGAAGGTTTTAAATATCGGTTCTTCTTTGCGCAGATTTTGATAATAAATGGATGCCTTTTGTTCATCCTTTTTAACTCCAATTCCTTGTTAATAACAATATCCAACTTTGTTTGCTCCATTAGCATTCCCATCTCTGCAAATTTATGATAATTAATGAATGCCTTATATTCATCCTTTTTGATTCCTATTCCGTGTTGATAATAGTATCCAAGGTTATAATGACCTAACATAGTAAATTTTTATGATACAGTCTGTAACTATTAAACAACCTTTCAAAGACAATACTATATACATCTATCTAACATAACCGGTTTAATATATCTTGCCTGAATAATATGCCATCGTAGATTTTTTTATATAATTTTTCCAGAACAGTTGGATTGGTCTAACGGATTTGAAATCATAAACTTAAGTATTAGTTGCAAAATGCAAAATCAAGATTTAACACATGTTAGTTGGAATGGTTTTTAATGATACCCATGTAGCTATATGTTCTTACTTGAACATTTACAAGATCGGATCAGCCAGACATTTTATAGTACACTTGGAATACACCTTATTCAGGGCCAAAATGCGAAATAGATGTATTTCAAATTTGCTATTTTAAAAAGTTATGTATTAAACTCATACAATGATTTCATATTCTAACTAAACAAAAAAATATATATTGCGTTAATGAAAATATACGAAGTACTAGAAACGATAAGACATTTTTGAAATTCTTTCTATATATATTTTTTTTATCCAATCAAATTTAAACTTACCAATAAATTCTAGATCGCTGTACCATGTAGATCATTACTTTATTTAGAATTGCCATATATGGAAAAATCCCAGACTGAACTACTATAATTTACCACTTCTTCTTCATGATCAAACTATTCAAACTATAGTCTAACATATTAACAAATATAACAATAACAAAATTGTATTTAGTATTACATTTTCTGTCAATTCATCTTATAATGAAACCCACATATATCTTTCTAATAACATTTTTTACCAGATCATATTATTATTATTCTACACCTTCTTCTTTTATTTTACAATCTACCTCTCAGATCTAACTCTTTTAATTTTACTCCTATTATACTTAATCTTTTTCTTAATAACATTCTTCAATCCTTTCTAATTGCAATTCTTTTTCACTTTTATCTAATCTAACCCACATCATCTCTATTTTAATATTGTCACATATAATGTTAGAAACTTTAATAAACCTACCAAAAGAGAAGCCTGTCAAGATTATTGTTTTAACTATAACATATCTATTGCAAGCATTACAAAAACTAAAATTTCTAACAAAACTAACCTTTTTTTTTGTAATAATAACTTCTTTATCTACTATTGGTCTAATTTTTCTACTTCTATTAAAGACACTGTTATTATGATTCGCAATCATCTTAAACCTCATATTCACAGTATTCATACCCATCCTGGAGGCACTATAGTACTTGATATTTTCTTCCAAAATAATATCAAGCTCCAAATCATCTCAGTGTTAACAACTGACATTTTTACTTATAATCAAACTCAAAATACTGTTATTAACTGGATTCAACAAGTCTCTTAACTTTATATTCACTCTATTATTCTTGGTGATTTTAATATACAAGATAATACTCACAGTTCTTCTTCTAAATACAAACTCATTAACTTTCTTAACAACACCAATATGTATAATATTATGCTTATCTTAACAACAAACACTTTACCTAATCTAATAATACTAGCAGTAATCATATTGACTACATTTGGACTGACCAATTTAATATATAATTTCTTCTTTCTTATAGTCTTGATAACAGCCAAACTTCAACCTCTAGTGATTATCTAATTTGTTCTTCTATATGAACATTTTCACATACCTATAGCAAATCTTTATATAAACATACTGGTATTAGTCATCGTATCTTAAATTACAAGACTATGTCTACAGAGAACTGGGAATTCTTTGCAGATATTTTATCCTAACAAGTTTTACTATACAAAACTCCTACCAATAGAGCAACTAATAAAAACATTAAAACAATTTGGCACAAAATTCAAAGCTCTATTATTTATTCTACTATTCATATTATCTCTAATAAAGTTTTTCATAAATGTAGCTACAACCACCAATATTTATCTTACAGTACTCTATTACATCTATCATTGAAAAAACTTGGTCATACTAGTAAACTTGTTAAAAAACTCATTCAACATTCTGACATTTTTAACATTAATCAAAACATTTCCTATATTAACAAACAGTCTCAATGTGACCTTCAACTATTTAACTTTACCAACCTATCTTGTATTCAATCATGGCTTCAACATGCCTACTCTATCTGAAAACAACTTTTTCATACTTATCATCTTGAAAACTCTCTTTTACTTCTATAACAAATTAACAAAGCCACTGACAAAAGAGGTGTTACTCTTACAACACATCCTACTTAAGCTATTAATAGTATTCTTAGCTATTATTATCAACCTGTTCATTTGTCTAATATAAAACTGTCTAATAAGCTTATAACTAACCTACTAATCATTAAACAACATGTCCAATCATATTTTATGACTGAACTGCATTTAGATCTAATGATAAAACTCTTTTTAATACCTTTGGCAACAAAATTATCTTCCATTGCCTCATATCAATCTAACCTGATACCAATTTTTAAACTCTCCTATTACAAATGAAAAATTTTCTCAAACTCTCATTTAGCTTCCTAATAATAAAGCCTGTGGTTCTACAGTCATTATTTATGAAATACTTAAACATATTAGTTCTGAATGCACTTCTGCTATTACGAGTCTCTTTAACTATTGCCTTCTTGAAAACATAATCTCTAAGTAATGAAAATATAGCAGAATTTATACTATTTCCAAATATAACTCTTTTGATAGTAACTTTAACCTTACCCAACCTATTAGTTTTATTGAACATTGTTAGCATTAAGAGTTTTACACATTTTTGACCTTAATATTTAATGTACTGAACCAATTTGGATGAAACAACCACCATTGGATTCAGCTCACCGAGACGATTCTAACGAGCAGAAGATCATGTGATTCTGATTATAGAATCACGAGGTCGAGATGATTTTGATGAAAGTACTAATTCTAGTACATGTAACTTGATTCTGATTGGCTCACATTACTGTATTGGAAATCTAACAAATCTAACATTTTTAACAGATCTTAGATCTAATATATCTAACATATTTAACAGATATTATATATCTATTATATCTATTATATTTATTATATCTATTATATATACTATATCCATTATATATATCATTTCTATTATTTTTTTTTTTTGGTATTAAGGTGAGGCCTTGCTCATATCTTTATTGGTAGTTTTTAAAGTTAGTAACTTTATGGAATTACTATATACAAAAATAATTCTATATAAATGCT